GGTATTACTACAGAGTACTGAGGTGTTACTACAGAGTACTGAGGTGTTACTACAGAGTACTGAGGTATTACTACAGAGTACTGAGGTATTACTACAGAGTACTGAGGTGTTACTACAGAGTACTGAGGTGTTACTACAGAGTACTGAGGTATTACTACCTGTCGTCTCCACTTTTCAGCTTTGGGGAGCTCAGAACACTCCGAGGCCAAGAACGGTCTCCTCTCCTGCAGACAGACAGAACACTGGTTGCTGTGAGGCATTCAGGGAACATTCATGGATCATGGAAACCACAGAACACTGGTGGCTGTGAGGCGTTCAGGGAACATTCATGGATAATAGTAACCACTGGTGGCTGTGAGGCATCAGGGAACATTCATGGATCATAGTAACCACAGAACATCTCCATCCAGAGGCTCAGGGTTCTCCAGACTGTAGAACACAGCAGAACCTCACCTTGACTTTTCCCTCCTCCAGCTGAGCCTGTCTGAATCGGGCCAGGGCCGTCCTGAGAGACACAGCACAGGGACACAGTTACACACAAGCAGCGGACAGACAGCTGATTCTGTGATTGATTAAGTTATTGATCAGGGCGGCGCTGCTCTGTGTGGCCGATGACGTCAGCGCTGCGAGGACACCTGTGAACAGGTGAATGAACCCCGGACAGACAGGTGATGCAGCTGTAGAGAACAGAACCTGTAGAACCGGCCGGTTCTCAGGCTGCTGTCCTCTTGCCACTGACAGACTCATCGTGAAGGGGGCGCTACTCACATGGCCTTCTCGGCGTTCCTCGCCTGCACACAGACATGACAGCAGTTAGAACACATTCCCCTGATCAAGTCATCAATACATGTGATCAGATCTGCGGCAGATTAAATTAGACATCGATTCGCTCTGAGCAACAGAACACAGAAGGGCTCAGTGTGACACCACAGTTCGGTACCAGACTCCATTCAGAAATCCTGCTTTTTATCACAGACTGAACGACGGACTCCCACTGAAACCAGTTCATAGATGTTCATAAATCCAGTTTGTAGTGTGGGATTTGTGCTGCGGGCTGTGAGCTTAACATCACACCCGGGCCCTGAAGAACGTGTTTGATTTGATATGTACAGAACCTTTATTAAACTGATCATTCGGGTCAGGCCAGACTCCGTTCAGAAACCAGCGGCTTTAACACAATGACCCGACCAGCAGGAAAACCAGCTAAAGTTCGGCCCAGTTAATCAGCTTCAAATGTTCTCTGCTGAACTTTTACTGATATTTTTGAATATTAGCGCTGAATGAAGCTAACAGGCTAACCCTGGTTAGCAGCTACCAGCTAGCACGCTAGCAGCGTGTGAGGGACCGGAGGTGCTTCTCACCATCTCTGCTGCTCGTCTGACTGCGAACACAAACGCTGCTGCTGCTGCTTTCAGCTGTAAACGAAGAAGCGACAAACTTCGGCTCCGGCGTCCGGCACACCGACAGTACCGGAGAGAAATCACCCGCTACCGCTACTGCTTCCGGTGTCATGGCGTCTTCGTCGTTGCTCAAAGACCGAAGTGACTGATTACTGCCCCCCTCCGGAGGAAGCTGAGCACTGCAACACAATGAATACAATAATTAAGACATCCATCCATCACCTCTCCACCTTAATCCTCACTTGGGTCATGGGGGGCGGAGNCAACAGAGTATTTCCTCTGATGATCAAGAACAAATCATTCATTAAGGCGCTAGTTAAAAATTCAGCTCCAGAGTAGAACCTCAAAGAACCAAAGTGAGTCCAGCTGTGGTTTCCATCAGTCCACCTGCATGAATATGGTTCTACAACGAGTCCACGGACCATCAACTACTGTCACTATGGAGCTGTGAACACCAGACAAAGGCAGCTGCTTCAGACTTGGCACAGGGCTTATCAATGGAGACCAGAGTTAGTGTGAAGCTCACACAGTTTGATGGACACTTCAGAACATCAACCTCTATGGACGGAGGACCAGAACCAAACCTGGCTGCTGCTCACAGCTAAACTTCCACATCAAAGTTCACCAGAGAACATGAACAGAAGCCTGATGGATGCTGGAGAACATCCTCTGGTCAGATGGAGATCAATGTGTTGGGCTCACATGGAGTCCAGATGTTTGGTGTGAACCTGACCAGGACCACCACAGTGGATGCATGGTCCTGACAGTGAAGCACGGAGGTGGCAGCATCATAATATGGGGCTGCATGAGGGCAGAAGGTGTTGATGACGTTTCTAGATGCTCCATGAATCTCTGAGGATAAGGGTTAGGTTTACTGGACTTCTGTGTCTTTGTGGTTTAAGCTTCAAATCTGGACAGCCAACAAAACCACAACAAAATGAGCAGAAATTGTTTTAATAAGAAACAGACGAAGTAAAAAAACTGAGCTGATATTTACATGAAAAGACAAACAGACAGACAGACAGACAGACAGGTTAGAGTCCCAGTAGAGTTCTAGCTTCTTGACTTTGAGCCTGAAGAGTCTCGCTGGCATAACGCTGCAGCAGTTCCATCTTCTTCCTCCGGACCAGAGCCTCCTCCACCTGAAGAACAGAATGTTGGACACGTTGATTTTATATTTTTGTAAAACTAATTATCAAACAACTGTTTATTTTTTATGATTGTGAGAGAGTCCGTTCTCTCTCCTCGTTCATGTGGTTCTGGTTCCACAGAGTTGCAGGACTTTATGTTGAACCTCAGTGAAGGAACATGAACCAGGAGCTTCTCATCATGTCTTAATCCTTAAACCCATCTCCAGACAACCCGTCATATTAAAATATCACAAAACATTTTCCAAACTGTTTCTCTCTTAACTGGAAAATAACATTAACAATAAAAGTTTCGGTTCCACTTCCAGAATGTTTCAGCCTCTGTGAACTGGGTCCGAGCATGTCAAAGGTTCTGCTTAGAACCAGGGTTTGGTTCAGTGAGTGTGATCATCCTGAGGACAGGTGAGGACGGATCAGAGGGTTTGTTCAACAGATCCAGACTTTCTCTGTGCAGCGGCTCCACATGAACCAAAGCTCCAGCAGAGACCACAGGTATCATGAAGGAGGTTCAGCTTCCTGCTTCAGACTCTGTTCTCATTAAAGGAGGTGTTAACGCGTCACGTGACTCTTCTTCTGCCCTGAATGAATCGATCACGTGCAGCTGCTTCAGTTAGCACCTTGTTTTAATGGAGAACAATGAGGAACATCAACATGATGACGGTAAAAAGTGCCGCTACTGTAAACGGTGAAGACAGGAATGCTGGTAGAAACTGTTCAATGTGTTCATAGAGAATATTTACTGATGTAGCTGCTGGTTTCCAGCTGACAGCTGCAGGTTAAAGCTAAACTTTGACCTTCATACATTTAAACCTGATCTGGTGCTGAAGCTCATTCAGGTCTGACTCTGTCCCAGAATGTAGGAAATCACTTTAACTTTTGGCCCAATCAGAGTGAATGAATGTTACTGATTGAATGTTCTCTGTGATCAATACCAGCAGAATGATCCATGTTCTGATCGGTTCTATCAGCTGCAGCAGCAGCAGAGGAAACGGACCTGACAGCAGATCAGAACCAAACATTAAAACATATTGATGTGATTTCTGCATCACCGACCTAGCTCCACAGCATCAGTTACCATGGAGACCTCGCTCCACAGCATCAGTTACCATGGAGA